GTGTGTGTGTGTGTGTGTGTGTGTGTGTATGTATATATGTATATATGTATATATGTATATATGTACACACACACACACATATATATATATACATATACACATACACACATACATACATATAGATATATATACATATACACATACACATACACATATACATGCATACATACATACATACATACATACATACACGCTCTGTGTGTGTGTCTGTGTGTGTAAATCTGGAACGCCTCAAGCACTTTCAACCAAACTTGTTACACAGATGACTTAATTCTCTGGAGAAAAATACTGTGGGGGTAAGACACCCCTAACAGCCCTCGAGGGGGGGGGGTTGTTCTGTTAAGATGCAGTCTGTTGTGGCTTAAAATGGCTTCTACCGTACTCCTGTAAAATGGCTTCTACGGTACTGCTGTAAAATGGCTTCTATGGTACTGCCATAAAATGGCTTCTACCGTACTACTGGAAAATAGCTTGTACTGTACTGCCATAAAATGGCTTCAGGGTGTGTGCTCTGTTAAGATGCAGCCTGCTGTGACTTAAAATGGCTTCTACTGTACTGCCACAAAACAGCTCAGCACAGTGGGGTTGCCATGGTAACAGCTTCACAGTACTCCACAAGGGGGCTCCCTCTCATAAGGGAGGAAATCCAACATTAAAAATTACATTTGGTCCGGACATTTTCAACAAAATCAGGGCTTTTCCTGTCTAATACAAAATTAGGATAAATAAATCCCTCTGTTGGAAACCATGAGGCGATGCTAGAGTAATAAGAGTCCTTCGTTGCTACATTTCCTATCCAAGAACCCAAGATAAAAGAGTTTGCAGGACTGGAAAACAAGGCAAAGCGCTGGATGAAAAGCTGGATATATATATATATATTTCTAATTATGGTTGTTGGTTTATCTATCAAACGTCTTGAAATGCTGGCTCTTCGGTAGCCCTGGTGGTGGTGGGGGCATCGTTGCTTCTAGCTGAGTGGGTCTGCTTTTGATAGGAAAGACTTCTGGGAGGGGCAGGGAGGGGTGGGGGTGGCCAGCCAATCCTTGTAACTACCAGTTCGGGGAATCAGATGTAAAATTAGCATCCTGTTTGCCGCAACTGGTCCAAACCGGCTGAATCCTTCCTGTGGTTGAGGTTTTCCTGGGTCCCGATGGATGGAGGATTCCCCGAACCAGCCCCTTCAAATCTCGTCCATTGTCAGAGGGGGGTGGCTGGACTGTAGCCTCTGAGCCCTTCGTGACCGCCCCTGGAAGGTCTTCCTTGGAAAAAACGCTATTCGCCGGTTCCAGATTTGGATTCCAGATCATGATTTCTTCTCCGCTTCTCCTTCCCAGCCAGGACCTTCGACGGAGGAGAGGGGGGTGCCTGAACCATGAACCCCCACCCGCGGCGCATCCGCCTGAAGCCCTGGCTGGTGTCCCAGGTGAACAGCGGCCTGTACCCGGGTCTGCGCTGGGTAGATCCGGAGCAGAAGAGGTTTTGCATCCCCTGGCGCCATGCCACACGTCACATGCCCTGCCAGGATGACGAGAACACGATCTTCAAGGTGACCCGGAAGTGGGGGAGGATGGGCTGTGGGATCCAAGCTGCCTGGTCACAAAACATTTGGGGGTAGCATGGAAGGAGGCTGCTGATAAAGAAAAAAAAAACTCCACAGTGGCGACAGGGACAGCAGCTGGCCAGTAAATACTCAGCTGCATTCAGTTGCCCAGACTCCACCCCACAAGGGATTTGGGGGTCATTAAAAGATGATGATGATGATGGAAGGCAGTTGCTAAGGTTTAGGGCGGACTACCTTGGTCATCCTTGATGATGAAGAAGGGAGTCCGAAAAGACGAGAATCAACATTTTCATTACATTTTAGCCTGGCCAATAAAAACAACAAAAATACCACTCGAGTTACAACCAGGATTGAACAAGACTCATGTTGTTAAGTGAAACATTTGCTAAGTGAGTTTGTTCCATTTTGCGACATTCTTTGCCACTGTTGCTAAGTGAATCGTTGCATTTGTTAAGTAACGTGGTCGTTAAGTGAGGGGGCTGTATCGTAAATAGAAAAATAATTATCGTGGCTAGGAAACTTCAAAAATAAGTCGCTTTTTACAGGTGGTCCTCGACTTAACGACCGCAGTCGAACCCAAAATTTCCATTGCTAAGAAGCCAGAGGTGAAGTGAGTTCGGCCCCATTTTACAAGCTTTCTGGCCACCATTGTTAAGTGAATCACTGCAGTTGTTAAGTTACTAACACTGTCGTTAAGTGAATCTGGCTTCCACCGTTGACTCTGCTGGTCAGATGACCCCGAGACACTGTAACCGTCATAAATATGAGTCAGTTGCCAAGTGTTTAAATGTTGATCGCGTGACTGTGAGGATGCTACAACGGTCATAAGTGTGAAACATGTGATCATAATTCACATTTTTGGTGCAGTTGTACCTAAATTAAACAAGTGGTTGTAAGTCAATAATACTACCGATACTTCTTACAAGCCTGTACCTGTACTACTTACTAACCGAGGTGGCGCAGTGGTTAGGGTGCAGCACTGCAGGCCACTTCCGCTGACTGTTAGCTGCAGTTCAGCGGTTCAAATCTCACCGGCTCAAGGTTGACTCAGCCTTCCATCCTTCCGAGGTGGTTAAAATGAGGAC